GCCACACTCATTGGCCTGATATTCGAGATTATGGTGTCCACAGTCTCGTTGCTTAACACCGTCTGGCAGTTTGCCATAGGGTCATTCAACCCTACGAGTTCAGACCACCAGAGGACGTTCTCGCCCATGATGTGGCCAGGCCTCCGGCTGCGCACGGCCGTGCTTGACGTGCTTCCCCCCGTTGGCGGTCCCGCCGATGGTCTCGCCCTTCTCTCCGTTGTTGGGCGATGTCCTTGCCACGGCGCCCGCAACGGCCGATGAGATGCAGTTGAGGTCACTGGTCGGGATCTGTTTGGTCTGACGGTCCAGCTGTGCCTGCGTTGTTGTCTTTCCCTCTCTTCATTCCTCATCTCTCTCTGCCTTCTTCTTCTCCGTGGAGTCGGTGAGCGCCCACGTTTGCGCTGCATCAGGCTGATCTCTTCCGCGACCTCGTCCGCCTTGCCATCCTCCCAGTCCCACCCTGGGTGTCTCACCTGAACGTCACCAGCACGGCGCCCATCTTTCAATGTCCCTTGCAGTAGCTTCATGGAATGTGGGTGGTTCCTCCCCTGGTCCTCGACGGAGCTCTATTGCACCAGTTTCCCTGCAGAAGGCCCGAGTCCCACTCATGCACTCGAGGTGGAGCCGCCACGAGCCCTTCACTCTCTGCGTCCACCCTTTCTCATCCCGTGGTGGATGCCAGGCAGGATGTCGTTCACCGCCTTGTGACCCGCCAGCTGGGGAGCACCAAATTGCTCCGGTCACAGGTTCAGCAGTCCAACCAGCTCTGCATGTCTTCACCCCGGAGACCCCAGCCTTAAATTCATCCTCCACCATCAGCACATCCTGGACACGATCTCGCCCACGGCGACCAAGACAGGCTTCCTGGGCTGCACAGGGGAGCACCAACTCACACCGAATCACGCCAACCTTTTCCCGCTGCTCCTCCTCGGCCACCTTGGACCTTCTCGTCGTCGAGCCCTGAGCTGCACACCCTTGCCGAGCAGGACAGTCTTCTCGGGCTGCGCGGGCGATCAGCAAGTCATACTGGTTCATCCTCCTGCGCCTCTTCCTTGGAGCCTGGCACCCTCACTGCTGAGCTGCGCCATCCCAGTCTCGATCTCGGAGTCCGCTTCCTTCCTGCCTGCTGCCAACAGAGCACAACCTTGCCAGGTAACCAGGTCCATGTCTCGCCCTGCGCTTGCCTCTTGTCTTGCTGCCAGTCTTTTGGCCACCCTCACCGTCATGCATCTCTGAAGAAGCCATGTCCTGCTGGTCCGGCTGCGCGGGAGCGAGTGATGGCAAGTGCAAGTACTCCTGCCGCGTACTGAGGGCTGCCACGAAGCAACACCCCTCATCCTCTGCATAGCTCGAGTCGTTGCGCCATACTTGCGTGTCGTAAGAAGACCCCATCTCATCACGAGGGGGGTCAAGCCATGAAAATGTCATCCCTTGGGGATCCACGAACTCCTCGTTCAACTTGAAGCCTCGGGCCATTCCGACCGCGAGGAGAAACACATGGAGATACTTGTAGGACGTGCCGCCAGCCATGGCTGGGATCCCGAACTACGTGTAAGGCGGTGCTTTCACAGCTGAGCAAAAGCTAAGCCGGTCATTAGCATCATTGCCCTCACATTGTCAGGGATGGTTGCCTACCCGACGACCACGCAACTTGTTCCTGCTCTGTCCACTTCTTCTCAAACCCTTTCCATTGTGCCCTATTGCACGCGGCCACCCTCCACGCCGAGCTCCCTATCACCCGCGCTATACGCCTTTCTGTGTTCATTAAGAACGAAAAGCGTCGGTGATGCCTCTTGCCCGCTTGAAGGTCTTGTTGCTGGTTCCACCACACCAGGTCACGAAATGCCGAGATCGCTCCCGCCACCGATGCTCTTTCCTGTTGGCTTTCCCTGACCAAATGCCCTGTGTATTGCCAGAACGCCGAAAGATGCTTGTCACCCCATCTCACTTTCATCATCTGGAACACCTTTGCTCTGGCCAGCCTGAGACTTCGCATCTCAAATTCAAGCCACCCTTCACCCTGCCCTCTTTTCACCCCAGCATGCGTCTGATACAATTGTATTGGAAGTTGTTGAGGAGCTGTTGTGCTTGTACTGTTGGCACCAGTGTCCCCAGGCACCACCTGATGGACCCAAAGACCACAGCTTCCAGGACCTTGCATCTCGCCGAAAGCGGGGCACTAGAACAAAGTATGTGAGCAGTTCCATAGAATTTACCCCTGGCCCTGTCCACCATCGCCTCCAGGATTCTCTGTTCGGTAGCTTCAATACCAAGGGGTAGATTCATGATCATGAGCATCTCTCCCTGGGGAAGCGGGTAGAGTTCCTTTCCTTGGATAACCAGTGGTTTCGCCCTTGACCCTCTCAAGCACAGCAACTTGCACTTGTCTGGTTGAACAAACAGGCCGAACTCAACTAGAAGAGGGAGAAGTTTGTTCACGTAGTGCTGCAAGCCCTCAACCGACCGTTTCTATGCTAACACATCGTCCATGAAAACTGTACTGTCATGAGGCAAATCTTGCATAACCATCTCATCGTGCGCAAGTTGAACTTCAGACATGAGGTCGTCTAGCAGTCGCGCGAAGAGCAGAGGACTCTCGGTGGCCCCCTGCTTAACGCCTACGTTCGACTCAATAGCAGTCTGATTCCATGGAAGGTTCAACACAAGGTCAGTGCTTGCAAGCAGCCGTATAAGACTTCTGGTCTCAAAAGGTTTGGCCCCGCCCGCCCATGTACAGATCTTGCCAGCCAGCTTCTCCCTACTCACCGAGTCGAATGCACGTTGCAAATCCAATTTCAGCATGTAGCAGTCAGATTGCCACTCTCGACAAAGATGAGTTAGACGGACCGACAGCCAGATAAAGTCTGCTGCCTGACGGTGTTTGCCTGCCAGCTGGTGTTCGCCCTGGGGTCTAAGTTCTTGCGAGAGTCTCCGCACAATCAGCCGCGCATAGGTTTTGGACACATGAGAGGCAAGCGCAATGGGCCTCAGTTGCTTAGGGCAAGAGGGCGGCTGTACCTTAGGCAACAGCGTAACCACGGAGCGGTCCCATGCCGTCGGAATGTCCCCGGTCATTAGAAGTTGGTTGAAGTATTCGACAAAGGCATTGACCGAGGGCTCACACTGCACCATTGCCTTAAGGAGTTCGGTCGGTATACAGTCAGGCCCCGTGGCTTTACCCGACTTACCACTCATGACCGCTTCCACAACCTCCTCGCTGGTAAACGCCCTCATCCCCTTGTCAAAGTTCAGCCCCTCACTAACCTTCCGCAGCTTTGCATGAATGTCGCCCTGCCCTTCGTCATGGAAAACCCTCTGAAAGTGCTGTTCAATCTCGGTCACGGGGTTCTCGGCCTTAGACGTGATCATATATTCATCACCCCACGCCATCCTTTTCTTAGTTAGCGCCTTGTACAGCCCCCAGTCCGAGCTTGCCCTCTCAATCCTCTCCCCCTTCCACTGTTCCTTTTCTCTCCTGAGGGCTTGCAGGTAGTTCTTCCACGCACCTGCATCCCTGCCTTGCCTGGCCATGCTCCTCAAGGTCCCGACCGCTGCGCTCGGCTTAATTTCTCCCCAAGCGACGCTGGCCTGCAGCGCTTGTTCGCGAGGTGTTCAAGCGTTTGCTGGTCAATCTCATGGACTAGCGCCGGAACTGATATTACCCGCATCGGCCCACCCCGCCTTGCCTTCTGCTTGCTGTGTTTCCCCACCAACGTGGCAACCACCTCGACCCTATCATGGTCCGTTCCCACCTGAACCCTGCTTCCCTCCGCAATTTCCATCTTTCCCGCCAGCCCTCTGGCGAAGCAACCATCAATCTGCGTGCTAGCCACATTGGGTTTCCTGGAGTGGAAAGTAGGCGTACATGCTTGCTGGGCCGAGGGCACAACCTGCTGGAAGCCATGTTCCGCCATCCCCTGCCTGAGGTCCGCCCACCGTGTATTAATGACCTGCGGTACACAAGCTTCATCCTGCACCGACCACTTGAACTGCGTGTTGAAATCTCCCAAAACAACCCCTCTCTCGGCTTTGCGTGGACACTCCGAAAGAAACTGGTGTAGTAGCCGTTGATTCTCATCCCTAGGCTCGCTGTTGGGGAGATGAAGGCATCCTACCCAGAAGCTCTTTGAGGTCTCCCGGTGCTGCAAGTGTGCCCATATGCCCCTCGCAGTCTCCTTCCGATCCAACAAGTGAAAGGATTTCGCGCAATAGAAAATGGCAACTGCACGGTACATGTAGTAGTTTTGGCGAATCAGACCATTGTAGACTTCACCCCTGAGCAACTGCCACCCTGCTTCTTGTTTGGGGTACTCCTGGAGCGCGACAACATCAGCCTGAAGCTCATTTGCAACCAGAGCCTTCACTCTTTTAGCGCTGCTTCCAGCAACATTCCAGCTGCGCAGACGCAAGGGAAACTGGGCCACATCCTCCCGGCGTATGCTCAAGCACTCCTGGCTGGGGCATGACTCGTCCGGAATGTGGAGGATCTCTGCGGGATCAACATCGGATGGAGCATACACAATGTCAGGCACAAAGTATCTTGGCCCTGAAATCTGGACCCCTGCACCCAGCTTGTGAAGTGAACCCTTTCGGGCTCCGCCCGCCTGACTAGAGCAATTACTCTGGGGATCCCCATCGAACTCCTCCTGCTTCACACTCGCCTCATCTCGAGGAAAATCTGTACATTCTTGAGGGCAAAATCCTCGTATTGGCTCACCCTCAGCTGGACCAGGAAGAGGCTCAGCGCAGTCAGTCGACCGAGCTGCCATGTCTCCCTGTTGACAAAACTGTTCGCAGGCCACCTCCCCTTGAGGGAAGGACTGCGCATCATCCCTATCACCTCGCAGCTCCGAAAAACCTTGGCATTCATTCAAAAACCCCGAACTGTTGTGGGCACCGTCGAGGCTGACATACAACGCACCCTGCTCCCCTGTCAGCGCCCCGTTCTCAGCAGACTTAGCCACCATTGAGCTCTTCAATCTCAGCCTTCCCTGCGTGGGTCAGTTAACTATTTGCTGCCACAGAGCCTCCAGTTCATCGATCTTCCTACCCGTCGTCTTTGCCAAGGCAACCAGGTCAATCCAGCTGCCCTCCATCTTCCCTTTCTTGACATGACTCCCGTTAGCAGGCTTGTCCACACTGCCCACCAGTACATCCTTGCGCCAGATGCTCCCCAAATCATACACAGAGTCCACTTCATCAAAATCTGCCTGGACCACATGCAGCAGCCGCCGGATCTTGCTGGCGTGAGGTCCCCCGCCTCGCTCTGTCCTCGGTCGACTGACAGTGGCCCACAGCGTGTTACCCGAAGCAAGCTTCTGCACCACCATGCAAGGATCATTGAGCTTGGCGATGACCGCGTACATTCTCTGCTCTCTGTCAGCTTCGCTCTCACCCTGTCTCAGCCGCATTTCGCTAAGGCAGATGGAGTGCCTCGCCTTAGGCACCCAAGGAGCTTGATCGACCAGGTCCTTCGCTCCAGCTTTCTGGAGTGCATCCGCCATATCCGACACAATGATGCTCCTTTTGGTGTCAGTTTTCCACCCACCCACCAGGATGGCGGGCGGCCTGGAAGCGACAGGTTGTAGTGCCCCACTCGGGACCCCAGGCCTGCCCTCAAGCGCCAGCACCCTTGTCAAGAGCTTGTCCTGCTGCTCCTTGACCACAGCAATGTCCTCCGAGCTCTTCGCCATCTTCAGCTCCAATTCGGTCTGCACCTTCGTTACGGCCTCCGTCATTTTGCCTTCAGAGGCCAAGTTCCCCTTCAGCTCTTGAGTCTGCTCTTTGAAGAGCATTTTCAGGACCTCCACTGAGACACCTTTAGGGTCCGCTGCCCCTCTCTTGGTGGGGGAGCCAACGTGATGGCTTCTAGCCTCCTTCTTCGGCGGCAGCGTGATCTGGACTTCCCCGTCACTGAGGTCCGCATCCACTTCCATTGTCTGGCCCGGAACGGGGATTCTGCTGACATCCTCCATGTCCGTAATCGCCACACCCGAGACGAGGACCTCTGCGCTAGTCGCGCGGGATCGGCGCGGAGAAGCGGAATCAGGCTATCTCCCAAGAAGGACTGGCCGCCCCCGCAGCAGCCACGGCGCCGGCAGCAATGGCTACAAGGTTTGGAAGTGGTTTAGGGTTTAGGGTTCAAGGGTTCAGGGTTTGGTGGTTTGGATTTAGGGTTTAGGGTTCAAGGGTTTTGGATTTAGGGTTTAGGGTTTAGGATTCAGGGCTTTTGGATGTAGAGTTTGGGGGTTTAGGGGTTTTGGATTTAGGGTTTAAGGTCTAGGAGGTTTGGATTTACGGTTTAGGGTTTAAGGGTTTTGGATTTAGGGTTTAGGGTTAAGAGGTTTTGGATTTAGGGTTTAGGGGTGTAGGGGATCAGGGGTCTTGGATTTAGGGTTCAAGGGTTTGAATTTAGGGTTTAGGGTTCAGGCTTCAGGGGTTTTGGATGTAGAGTTTGGGGGTTTAGGGGTTTGGGATTTAGGGTTTAGGGTCTAGGGGGGTTGAATTTACGGTTTAGGGCTTAGGGGTTTGGATTTAGGGTTTAGGGTTTAGGGTTAGGGTTTAGGGCTCTGGATTTAGGGTTTCGGGTTAACGGGTTTGCGATTCGGGGTTTAGGGTTTAGGGGTTTTGGATTTAAGGTTTGGGGTTTTGGATTTAGGGTTTAGGGTTAAAGGATTTTAGATTTAGGGTTTAGGATCTAGGGGTTTTGGATTTTGGGTTCAGGGGCTTTGGATTTAGGGTTTAGGGTTTAAGGGGTTTTCGAGTTGGGGGTTTAGGGGTGTAGGGGTTCAGGGGTCTTGGATTTATGGCTTAGGGTTTCGAGGTTTTGGATTGATGGTTTGGGGTTTTGGATTTAGGGTCTAGGGGTGTATGGGTTTGGGATTTTTTCTGGCACCTTTTTCCACACGCAGAAGGAATTTTAGGGTTTTGGATTTTAGAGTCTAGGGGGTTTGGATTTACGGTTTAGGAATTAAGGGTTTTGGATTTAAGGTTGTTTTTTACAACCAGCGGACTTTTACGCCTGCCGTAGCACTGGTTTTCACCACAATCACCCTTTCCACGGGGATTTCCTCCTCCTTGGCAAAGGCCAAATGGAAGCCTTGACAGCCCAAAATGGGCATGATTTTCTCCACCAGCGGATTTAGGGTTTAGGGTTTAGGGTTGAGGGTTCAAGGGTTTTGGATTTAGGGTTTAGGGTTTAGGCTTCAGGGGTTTTGGATGTAGAGTTTGGGGGTTTAGGGGTTTTGGATTTAGGGTTTAGGGTCTAGGAGGTTTGGATTGACGGTTTAGGGTTTAGGGGTTTTGGATTTAGGGTTTAGGGTTTAGGCTTTAGGGTTGGGGGCTTTTGGATTTAGGGTTTAAGGTTACGGGGCTTTTGATTCAGGGTTTAGGGGTTTTGGATTTAGGGTTTAGGGTTTTGGATTTAGGGTTTAGGGATAAAGGGGTTTTGATTTAGGTTTAGGGGTTTTGGGTTTAGGGTTAAGGGGTTTTGGATTTAGGGTCTGGGGGTTTTGGATTTAAGGGTTTTTTTTACAACCCTTCGGACTTTTCGTCTGCCTGGCTCGGCAAAGGGTTCTTACCCTGTAGTTTCGAAATTACGAACGTCAGGAGCGTTCTGGGGCCGTTGCTATTACAGGGGGGAGGTTGCAAAGCAGGCACCAAAGGACAACAACCCCTTTACCCCCAGCAACAGCCAAACAGTGCAAAAGCTCAGCACACTTCACTGCTTTCAGTCCCTACCCTACCCTCAGCAGCCCTCAGTCGACCTTGCGCAAGCCATCTCGCCCTTGCCCCCGTGTTGGCTGCGGCGGCAGCTGCTTCTGAGTGGAACCCTGACCCTCCAACGATTCACGACCATGACCCTCACGATTTCCACCATGTTCACTCGCTTGCCCTTCACTTTGGTTCAACTGGGACCCTTGGTTCTCCTTCGTCTCAAAGTTCTGGCACCTCTTGGCATCTGTTGGCTCCGTGCTCTTGCCTTGCTGTAACCGCTGCGCTTTTTCTTTATGGTCACGCTGACCCCCAGGCAGAAGCGCCGATCCACCACTGGCATCTGGTTCTTGGTCACGGGGATCTCGACGTAGGCCTCCCTTGCTCGAAACTCCCGTAGCAGCCCCTACACAGCCACCTTCACGACTGGACCTCATTGTCACATCCATTTGACTGCTGCAAAGCCACCCATGGGGACCTCCACGCCATTGACCAGGCAACGCTTGACCCGGATGTCATGGCTAACATCTCCAGAACCACTCGACCCCGCAGACGCAGACACCGGATGCGACTCGTCCATTGCCCTGCGCAATGCCTCGTCGTCCGCGGCCTGAGCAAGACGCGCTCTTTTGAGCCTTCTATCACTACCATCACTCCCGCTTGATCATCTACCACGGTGTTTTGAGAGTCCACCACTGCTACCGTTGGCCTTCGAAGGAGCGTTCTCAATCTGGACATCCACTTCCTCGCAAATTCATCAGCTCGATCTGGTCTCGTCTCATCCGCCGGCTCGAACTGGTAGGCCGCAAGGAGCGCCTGCACATACCCCAACGCCTCCAAATCTTCATGAGGTTCGGCCAGAAGTAGCGCTTGAAGTTGTGCAACATAGGCGCCCACGGCTTCCCCACAAGATTTACGGTATTCCATGTCATCCTGAAGGAATCTGACCCAGCTTGTGGCCCACTGCATCAACAGCACTTCATCTCCCTCAGCTTCAACCTCCTCCATCATCATGTCTGCTTCAGCCCGTAAGGCCGGGGGATTCTCAGGGCGCAGTCCTGCACCTGCATCCAACCTCATCTCCATTACCTCGTGCTCGGGGTGGTCACCACCCTCGTTTTCATCACTTTCGATCAGGACCATCTCTTGCTGAGCTCGTTGTTGGATGGCAAGGCGCCGTTGTTCAGCCTTGATTCTTCTCTTCTGCCTTGCCACAGCACCTCTGCACTTACCTCTGACGCCCTTCCAAAAGTCTTTGGCCCAAGCCGCCGCAGAGGTGTCTTTCTCCACGGGGACTTGCATGACCCTCTCGGCGAAGGAATCAAGAACCGTTTGCAAACCCTGACAGGCCTGCCTCATGGAGGGTAGCCGGCTCCTCATATTCCTTCTGACCATTGCCCCAATGACGAACATCATACGCTTGCTACGTCTCGGCGTTCCATGGTATCTGGCCAGAAGCTCTGCACAGTTCGTTGGCCACATCTTCCACCTCGCATGTTTTGAGGTCACCTGGCTGACGTTCCCTCTGCATCAGGTCCATCTCGTCAGTCTCGGGCTCCTCAGTCTCCGGACACATCTCCTGACACCACTCAGGCCTATTCAGGACTCATCTCTCAGCCGCTCAGCCACGTAGATTTCCATCACCGTCCCAATTTCCACGAGCATGCACCCTGCAACCCTGAGCAGAGCGGCCACCATCACCACAACTCCCCTGGACCCTCGGTCATGGAAAGCCTGCTGCAGGTAGTTGCGCATCTTCCTAGGAAGACCAACTTGTTCTTGTGGTCCAGTCAGCAAGTTTTGGCAGGAAGGTCATCGTTCCATCCCAGGATCGGCCGCATCTTCGCTGAGCTCACGCAGGTAGGCAACGGCTGTTCGTCACCTCCGCATAAACCTTCTTCTCCTCCTCAACCCCTTGGTTACTTGGCCACGACGAGGGCGGTTGCGATCACCATCATCTGGCTCCCTGTCACGTTTGCGGGAGGTCCCTGTCTGCATGAGGGCTGCGCCATCACCCTCTGGCGGAGGCGGTGGAGGGGGTGGAATGTCTCCAGCCCTGGTATCCCTTTCTTCTCGCACATCTCTCACATCCCTCCCGTCGCGGGCTTCACGAGGAGAGGCTTCACGAACCACAGGAAGGGCGTCTCTGACATCTCTGGGCGGTGGTTGGTCGGCTTCCCGAAGAGCTCGTTGTATAGCTTCCCTGAGCATCGGTTATTGATTACAATCAATAAAACCCAGATGAAATTTATTGATATTGATTATTTGATTTTT